TAAAAGAGTGTTGTGCACGTTCTATCAAAACAGAAACGAAAGCTCCTTCCTCCTAAATCTTGGAAGGAGCTCCCTTTACAAGTTCCCGTGCTTCGAAAGGAATTATTACGGGAAATATCAGTGACTTGCGCCTTTTGTATGTGTGTCCGTGCTTCTATGTGTTGGTCCTTTCGACCGCGTTCTTAGCCTGTGTACCGCGTCCTTAAAGAGATACTACAACGAAATTTCGGCGCTCATTTTTTGGTCTATATGTGTTCAAAAAAGCAGCATCACATCGAACATGCCAATATCTTGTTAAAAAAGTCACGAAAACGAATTTTAAAACGAATTTAACGATTAGCAAAGAGCACCTGGTGAATGTCGCTGACGCCTCGCTTGTAATGCCTAGTAATGCCCGTCTAGGAACCTTGACAGCTAGTGACGGAGGTTGTCTCGCCTCCGGCCACGACGAGAGAAGAGGGGCAGGAGGAACTCCCCTCTTCCCGAGAATGCCTTTTGTGTGTCACAGAAGTCGCTATGTCCCCCTACAAGATTATAGAAGATTAACCCGTCACTCAAAATTCGTACAAAGGCCGCCGCTTCGGTGACTGGAACGACTAGGCCGTCCTCCCGACGTCAGCCTCGCCGTAGCTTTGCTCGTCCCGAGACGACCTACGTCACGATTGCGTTGGATGTCACGTGGTCTCCGCTGGGCCTTCTCCGAGCGCTGGCCAGAGTGGGCCGTTTATAACGAAAAATACAGCCACCAGGATCAAAATACAAACGTGCGATTGTCATTTACGGATATTGTGGATCATATTCAACCTATTTTTGAACACGACGGGAATATTTCTAATTTCGTTGAAGTATCCCTTTAACAAGTGTACTGCGTTCTTAACCTTTCATACACTAAAAATACTTTGTGCACTATGGGGATCGCAAGTGAGGTAGAGACAAGTTGAGGTGAAAGGGAGTCATTACGTCTGCGACGAAACTCTGCCCGCCGCAGCTGCTCCTCGGCAATGGGCAAACGACAGGCCGTGATCTCCAATAGTTAGCGAGAGGTGAAGAGTTCAGGGGAAGCTCCTCCCAGCTCTTTCCACTTCAGCAGAGCGAACGCTGGCGAGGAGGTCGCGTTCGCTCCGCTAAAGTGGAAAGAATGGGAAGAGCTTGCCCTGAACTCTTAACCTCTCGCTGACTATAGTACGTTAGAACTAGGGATGTCGCGATCCACCCTAGGTTCGATTTCGAAAGGTTTCGATATTTGCGAAGCGAACTGAGGTTCGATTTCGAAAAATTTCGATATTTTCGTACCGACCGAGGTTCGATTTCGAAAAATTCGCAACTTTTGTCCACAGCGGAGTTTCGAATTCAAAAATTTCGAAGCTTTCACGGTTTCTAAAATTTCGAATTCGAATATTTCGAATATTTTTTTACTTCAGGTTCGATAAATTCGAAGATTTCGAAATTCTTTGTAAAAACAATTCGAAAACTTCGAACCCTTCGAATTTTTATAGACATAAAGTTCGAACATTTCGAAGATTTCGAATTTCTTTTGGCATAAAGTTCGAAAAGTTCGAAAGTTTCGATTCTTTTTTAACGCTAAATTAAAAAAAAAAAACAAAAAAAAAACCTTAGAAGATTTTGAATTTTTTTCTAATCCAAGTTTTCAAAGTTTGAAGTTTGATTTTCAAGTTTTTCTACAGTTTCAGTTTCAAATAACGTTTTCACGACTCACTGGTTTTCACAAAATCAAGTTTAGAAAAGTTAGGGTGTGATATCTAAATTCTGCGAAGTTGGTCAGGCAATTAAATGAGACACGAGTGTCCCGGACGTGCTAGAATATTTGCCAGTGCAGAATTGTGACCGCCAGCCCCGGGGGGGTCTTTAACCTGCATCACGCAGTAGTGATTGCACGAACACACTGTTTTACGAGACTCATCCAGTTCGAAACGGCCAGGGGCGAGCAGGAGGTTGAGGCTCAGAAAAACCTGGAAGCGACCTGGCAAACTAGCTCGCCACCCCTTGCACGCTGGTAGTAATCCGATCCGGTCAAGTTTATAATTGTCCTGGAGGTTTATTTTCTGGGACGGAGGAATCGCCTCGCAAAAAGCACAAAAGCCGACACAACTCGAGGTCGAGGAGCGTTCTACCATACAAGTGGCGTCGGAAGAGGAAAAACGGGGGGAAAGAGGGTAGCGGGGGGGGGGGGGGGGGGCTTCAGTTTCTTTTTCCCCCTTGCACGTATTTCGGACTGTTAAAGAAAACAATACGGGGAAAGAGGGCGTGGTCGAGCTTATTTTAATCTGAAATGCTGTCGCTCTTCACTGCATAAAAGGTTGCGTAGATGGTCACTGTTAGAAACTCGTTGTCAGAAGGCACCGCTCGTCACATGCTTAGTGGTTCGGAAGTTCAAAGCTATGTCTTTTCGACCTAAACACCTGTGCCGATAGTAACACAAGAAAAAAAAAAAGAATAAATGCGGGAATAAAAAGCAGGAGAAAAAAAAAAAAACTATCAA